TGAAAGCTCTTTCCCGTGCAGTGTGTGCATCTGTATGTCTGTCTGTCTCCCTCTCTCTCTTTTTCTCCCCTTTTTCAAATAAGTAAGAGGAAAGGGAGGGGACAATGATCCCAGGAGTCCTAAGGGTTTGTAATAGCTGTGAGGGAGGTATGCCACATCAACATAGTCTGCAGTGGACTGAGTTCAAATTGCTTCTTTACCCAAGTGCTGCAAGGAAGGATGATTTTAAACTGCGGGAGGTTACCCAGGACAGGTGGCTGGGGGCTGAGAGATACCCTAAAGCAGGGTACCCTGACTGCCCCAACCAGGCATTGGCCTCAGACTGGGACAACTCTCTCCTCTTCAGATAAAGAAGATTGCTTCATATGCAACTGTTAGCAGACTGATGTGCCAATATTGAGGTGACAGAGTTTTGCAATATATCTGCCATTGCCTGGAAGCTCACTGAGCAGAAACTGAGGCTATTGTTTACTGTGTAATGTGGGGGAAAAAAATAAGGAAACAATCACTTGATACGCTACTGCTGTGACATTTTAAAAATATATTCAGCTGTTCCTCTAAAATATTAACTAATCATGAATAATGCAAAATGAGGACGTTTAAAATTCAAGAACAAATGCAATTTTATGTTCTACCAATTAGGTTTCAATTACATTCCAGTGTTACTCTCACCCCTAGAAAAAAAGACATAAATTATGACTTTGTGCATTTAGTAACATGTATGTTGCTGGCTCTGTCTGAGCATGGGAAATAAGGTATTTACAGTAAATACGTTTTCTATATCAGAGAAAAGGATGTTAAACCGTTCTTGTTGTGTCAAAAAACATCTTAGATGAATCACACACGTGCTAGAGGCAATTGTCAAGGTTTTTGTTTGGGCACAGACATGATGAGCAGGAATTGCTTCATTTTCACTTTGGTGCTTGGCATTGACTTAGATGGTAGAGTTATACTAGAGTGGGTTTAAACGATGATCCGAGGCTTACATGAGACAATCGTACTGAAAAGTCACTTTTGTGTGGACTCGCAGACCTTTTCTATGGAAATACAGTGACTGCACATCTGTAGCTGGTAAATGTAAACATACTGCCATGCACGTACACTTGATCTCTTTTCTAGAACTGTCCTTTAATCTTTGCAACAGAATGAGAATATTAAATACTTACTGTCTTGACACCAGTATTGTATTTTACTTTAGAAGATATTTTATAAAATACTTCAGAAGGAGGAATTTCAGGACAGAAAGTTCTAGTGATAATTTGTGGCTTGGGATATTGGAATGGTGTTCCTCCTTTTTAATTTGTTTTCTTTTCCCTTTATTGTGTTTTTAGTGTTGCGATCTTGGATACCATGCTAGTCTGAACAGAGCCCTAAGAACATACCTTTCTGCAGAGTATAACCTTGAAACTTCCAGGCATGAGGGCTTAGACATCATTGAAAATGCAGTTGACAGCTTGGAGCCACGAAGTGACAAGCAGAGATTCATGGAAATGTACCCCACTGCTTTTTGTCCACCAATGAAATTTGAGTTCCAGTCTCATATGGGTGATGAGGTCTGTATACTGAGAAGTATCCCCATGGTGACTGTTTCTGTTTCTATATAACAAGACAGAGAATTTATCCCCTTTCATAAAGAGTTTGGTAAAAGCTGTTATTGTTACCCAAAAGCAAGTGGATTGGCAATAACATTTTGCAAAACTGGTAGCACTGTTCTCAGTTTCTTTGGAGTTCTCAAGTAAAAATCATTGTGTGTTATTATCCTCTGTATTACTCATAACGACATTGCTGAAAATTTGCTGGCCAACCTGTGCTCAGCCCAGCACAGGTGTAACTAATGGCTTTATGTCTTCACTACCTGCCTCACCCATAACAGAGCTTGCAGGTGCTATTTGAGAGCAGCTGCAGAGCTGCTGCAAATTATGCATGCTGAAATGAAGCCTTTTCCCCCTTCCTTCTCTCCCATTTTATCATCCGGAGTTTTCAAGCATAGAGGGTACCCCGCTGTGTCCTGTTTTGCTACACTAAAGGCCAGTAGCAAAGCAGAATGCAGAATCACCCGTGTACATCTTTTATCTGAAGGTAACTCCAGGGTTTGCATTTTTGCGTGGTGGAGAGGCAACACAAAACAGCCATACAACAAGGCTGTGCTCTGTAGTCGCGAGATGTGGTACATAGTTCCACGCCTTGTAACACATAAATACTTTCAATTTAGATGGACACATGTTACTGTCTGCTTTATTAAATTTTAATAGCTTTGGCAGGAATTCACTTAGTTTTAAGGAGCGCAACCAAAGACTATTGACTGCTTTTTTAATCTTGCATCTTACAGCTCTTTTTGATTCTTTGTTAGGTTTGTCAGGTCACTGCCCAGCAACCTGTGCAAGCAGAGCTTATGCTGAGGTATCAGCAACTACAGTCGCGATTGGCCACACTCAAAATCGAAAATGAGGAGGTAAGATCTGTGTCTACATTGAGCACCATTTTCAGGAAGGCGCAGTGTTTTCTACCTTGTGAAAAGCATGTAAATGACCCTGAAATTACTTCAGTCTGCATGCGCTGTTTTGATTTTAAAAAATAATACTGGCAAATATGCTAAGGTAGATCCTTGTGTGCTTTATAGAGGTTTGGAAACGTCATCTTTTACCTGTCTATACGTTCACATTACTGAGTTCTGTGTTTTGCAGAGGCTTCAGTGTAATATGTGCTTTTTAGAGCACATATTTTGAAAGTTTTGTGGCAGAAAGCCACTGAGCACAGTTACTGTCTTCTGTGACCATCCTCTGTCCAGTCCCCAAATTGCTACTTTTGTAGTACAAAGGAATTTGGACTGTCTTTTGTGGTAGCTGAGTCAAAATCTCTTATGCTCTCAGCTACAACTATTTATAAACACGAGTGCTGAATGCCTGTGATGGGAATAGCTCACCTAGTAAAATAAAACGCGTTTTTTTTTATAAAATGCAGAAAAGCTATGCTGTTCTCTTTCCTTTGCTCTGGAGAGGCCTCCCAGTGGGTATAAATTGTACTTTTATCTCGTTTAAGGCAGTGTTAAAGGCCTTCAGTTTAAATGAGAATCTGTTCCTAAATTAAAACATAGGGATATTTTCATTTCTTGGTGTACTTTACTGATAGGTTTTCAAGATTCCAGTTTTTCTCGTTCTATGTTATGTGCTGAATGCCTAGAACAAAGTATTAATGTCCATGAGACATGTACAGTAGTCTTTAAAAGAACCCACTTGAATTCAGAAAGTACCTCAAGGTAACAGACAAAAGGAAGGAGAAAGATTATTTCTTTCAGTAAAACGAAGTGCAAGGGTGTAGGAGGAGAAATCATATTGGCAGGCATGGAAAGGATATTTGCCTACACTGGAGATATGTGTAGAAGTGTGCATGATTTGGTCAAGCTGACCCTACTAGACACTCTTCTGAAGCAGAACTGGGAGGTAAATCACATCCTCATGAATCTTGCCGGTTACTTTATTGCATTGTGAGATACTGCATGCCCTGTTGCACGGCCTCCATGCCCTGGTTTCCACTATGAGCGATGGTGCTCCATAGCTCATAGGAAGTGCTATGAGGCTGATGTAAATTGGTCTTTCTCCAGCCCCCTCCTCCAGCTGTGTATTCCACTTCTGCAGTCTAAACATCACTGTTCTCCTCACCATAGCACTCTGCAGAACGGTGTCACAGATTTTTATTTTGTAAGAACATGTTATTGTGGCAGCCAGATCCTTGGATGTTCATATTCAGTGTAGCACATTGACCATGCTTAGGAGAGTTGACTCTTCAAAGCAGTGTATCATCTCTAAAAGCTTTAAACTAGAGCATGGGTTTTTGAAAGGCAGGTCCTGCTTGACTAACCTCTATGACAAGGTGACCTACTTAGTGCATGAGGGAAAGGCTATGAATATGGTCTACCTAGACTTTAGTAAAGCCTTTGACACCATTTCCCACAGCATTCTCTTGGAGAAACTGGCTGCTCTGGACTTGGATGAGTATACACTTTGCTGGGTAAAAAACTGTAAGGATAACCAAGCCCAAAGAGTTGTGGTGAATGGAGTTAAATCCAGTTGGTGACTGGTCACAACTGGTGTTTCCCAGGGCTCAGTATTGGGGACAGTTTTGTTTAATATCTTTATGATTGATCTAGATGGGGGAATCGAATGCACCCTCAAAAAGTTTGCAGATTACACCAAGTTAGGCAGGAATGTTCATCTGCTTGAGGGTAGGAAGGCTTTACAGAGGGATCTGGACAGGCTGGATCGATGGGCCAAGGTCAATTGGATGAGGTTCAAAAGGGCTAAGTGTTGAGTCCTGCATTTGGTTCACAACAGCCCCACGCAACGGTACGGGCTAGGGGAAGACTGGCTGGAAAGCTGCCCAGCAGAGAAAGACCTGGGGTGTTGGTCGACAGCTGACTGAATATGAGCCAGCAGCATGCCCAGGTGGCCCAGAAGGCCAATAGCATCCTGGCTTGTATCAGAAATAGTATGGCCAGCAGGACTAGGGATGTGATTGTCCCCCTGTGCTTGGCACTGGTGAGGCTGCACCTTGAGTACCATGTTAAGTTCTGGGCCCCTCACTACAAGAAAGACATTGATGTGCTGGAGCTTGTCCAAAGCAGAGCAATGAAGCTAGTGAAGGATCTAGAGCACAAGTCTTCTGAGGAGGGGCTGAGGGAACTGGGATTGTTTAGCCTGGAGAAAAGGATGCTCAGAGAAGACCTTATCGCTCTCTACAGCTACCTGAAAGGAGGTAGTAGCAAGGTGAGTGTCAGTCTCTTCTCCCAAGTAACAAGCAATAGGACAAGAGGAAATGGCCTCAAGTTGCGCCAGGAGAGGTTTAAATTGGATATTAGGAAAAATTTCTTCACCGAAAGGGTTGTCAAGTATTGGAACAGTTGCCCGTGGAAGCAGGTGAGTCACCATCCCTGGAGGTATTTAAAAGACATGTAGATGTGGTGCTTAACAACATGGTTTGTGGTGGACTTGGCAGTGCTAGATTAAGAGTTGGACTCAATGATCTTCAAGATCTCTTTCAACCTAAACAATTCTATGATTCTGTGATGCTATCATTCTATTGCCTCCCAGATTAGGGACCATAATCAAATCATGTCGCATTTCAATTCTAATTTCAGGAAGCAACTGCTTGAGAGTGCTACACAGTCAGCACAAGAGTATATTCGTGTTTGTGGGTTGGACCATGACAAAGCGGAGAACTAGATAGGAAACCTTATCATACCCTTCTTCTTTACATGGATATCTAATACAATGCACCTAATTTTTCACATTCACACACCAGTTTGTTTGGGGGAGTGTGGCAGAGAATTATTTTGAGTAATGAGCTTCCCTTCTAAGCTGTCCTTATTATATATTTATCCTGCATTTGGCAAACTGTGCTTTTTAACACCAGGTTAAGAAAACAACAGAGGCTACCCTGCAGACAATACAAGATATGGTCACCATTGAAGACTACGATGTGTCAGAGTGTTTCCAGCACAGTCGCTCAACGGAATCTGTGAAGTCAACAGTCTCTGAGACATACCTCAGTAAGCCTAGCATTGCAAAAAGAAGAGCTAACCAGCAGGAAACGGAGCAATTCTATTTCATGGTAGGTTGGTTGCTTCCTCATTCATGTGATACAGACCAAACACCTGAAGTAAACATTAAGCAGAAGTTCCTGGAGTTTATGTGCCATACATAGTAATAGATTGATCTGCATCTCTACAGAAATTCAGAGAGTATCTGGAAGGTAGTAATCTCATCACGAAACTTCAAGCAAAACATGACTTGCTGCAGAGGACACTCGGAGAAGGTAAATATCACAAAATAAACTGAAAAATTATTCCAGACTATTCAATGAACCCACTGTAATGCCAAAGGTATGGAGGGAAAATAATTAAAAAACTTAAAGCTTAATTGTCCAGTAAGCATAGATTTGATTTTTACCAGTCATAGTCTTGATGCAGTGGTAAGAGTACGAACTATAAATTGATTTTATTTCTTCAACAGATATTTATTTCCACTGTGCAGATGTTTAGATAAGTGACTATATTTGGAAGTGGAACTGTTGAGCTAAAAATCTCGTGTCTGTAAGGAGAGCTGACACAGTCAGTGCAGGGTGATTTAAGAGCTGTGACAAATGTACTGTTTCTACTTCTTAACGATTTGTGTTGACTTGAGGTTTTTTTATGAGTTGGGGGAGAGTGATTTTTTTTAAGCATATAAAATTATCCAGGATGCATCTCTTACAACAAACTCACTAGTGCAACATTTCTGACACATGGACATGAATGTCCTTCTTGCAGCCTAACAACTCAGTGGAGCATTTATGAAAGGTAAAAGGTGAAATCCTGGCCTCACTAATGTCAGTATTGAGATTCTTATAGACTTAATCTGATGTTAAATTTCTACAAAGTATTTGCATATTGTGAACTGGAATGAATGAAAACTTAATGAATAGCTCTATACCTGTTGATTGTCATTATTACATATAAAGTTATTGCATTACCAAAGAAAAATATTGCACTACAAATTATGATGGCAGAGAATTATTCATTGTCCTGAACACCCTCCGTAATTTTAAAAATACATCTTAAAATACAAGCCAAGTCAGAACATGTCTACGGTCAAATTAAGTAAAACTGAATTAGGGCAGTAATGAATCAGACACTATGCACAGTTCCAGCCCATCTCTTACCAGTCCTCCCAAAATGCACTTCCTCATGGACCAAAGAGAGAAGGAAAATCACACTGCAAGCCTTGCGGACTAGCCACAGAGTGTTACAGACTTGAGAGGAAGTGAATTACACTGCAAAGAGTAAAAATCCTCTTCTGCATGTTAAAGACTATCATTCAAAGTTCAGACTCAAGACTTGTTCTGTAACAAGTGTCTCTAAAGGATGTGTCAATTTATTTTCTTTTTACTGCCAAAAATATGTTGTTAATCAGATCTCTTCTTGCTTTTAATGCTAAATCCTATATCCACAAATCCAGTTGTAGAGGTTCCTAAATATCTATTAACAGTTCAGTGGCTATGACTCAAACAAAGCTGGTCTAGGCAGTGACCCAGGTTGGGTGCAGGAAATAAACAGCATTTTCTTGCAAGGCTGGACTACAGAAGATGACAGCTGGTTTTACACAACTAACTACATAATGTTCTTTCTCATGAAAGTTTTCATTTAATAGGATTTTTTTAATGTGTGCATTGAGCAGTTTATTCACGCAAAACAATCTGCAGCTGATGTTAGTCAAAAAAGAGGAACATTTTCCTGCAAAGGCTCACAGAAAAAGTATTTAGAAAAATAAAGTGAATATTTTTTATTTATAAGCCCTGTAAAATACATGATCATCTACTGAAGGGAGAAAGATAAAGGGCGACAGAATCTGCTGCCTAATGCATGTTGGAAAGAAATAAGGAAAGAACTGTATGAAAAGAAAAACTTCTTAACAGAGTGACCTAAGTGATAAATTACTGTCAAGCTCTGGGCCATTCTGCCATGCTCAAGCACACTTGGACCAATCTGTTTGAATAGTTCCCTTCGACCCACCAGCTGTAACCCCAAGTAGTTAATCTGTGTTGCCCACAGTGTTTTTGCACATAGGAGTTGTCACTTCATCGTAGCATAGCATGTACAAATAGTACCCCAAACATTCATGTTTACATTCAAAGCTGGTATTTGGAGCAAAAGCCATCATTCTTACAGGTTAAAAAGTTCAACCCCCTTCTCTTCAGGCTTGTCCTGCATTAAAATGCACAGGCTTGGGAAGTAGGACTGAGATTCTGTACGTTCCTTGAATGGGAATGATTGAAAGGATAAAATTACAGAGGAATTATGAACATTATTGGTGTGGCTGGTATGGAAATTAATTTGTAGGAAGTGAACTGCTCACTTGCTCGACTCACACTGCCTTTTCTGGAAATTTTCACGTCAGCAAGACCGCAGACAAATAACACAGGGTGCTGTATTAAGTAATGCAGGGGAGAATGGGAGGAGAGGGAGAGGATTGTCTGAACTGCAAGTTTTCCTTTGGCAACCTATCTTACTTTTATTCAGCCTGTGGAGTGTAAGGATGTAGGCTGAATAAATCCAGATTCTAGTCTGGTATTCACAATGTTGACAGCATTTGGCTTCTGTTCCAGTTCATCACCTACCTACTACAGTCTGTTGCTCTTTATGGACACAGCAGATACATATTGATGATCTGCACAAGGGAGATAGATGAAGTACTCTGTGCTGAGTCTGCATCTACAAATTTGGAAAAGTAAATGAGAAATACTTGAATTAAGTTGATACTAAACATAGGAAGCACACTGATACTTCTATTAATTCTGACCTAAGGCTCATCTATTGAAGGAACAAATGAACAAAGCAAAGGGAAATGCAAGAAAAGGAATAATCAGTTGTAAAAGAAATTGCCCCTGTGTCCCAGATAGTTTTTGCCGTAATCTGTTAAACATCAGAGATGTATTTAAAATCCCCCAGACTTGAGATTTGTAACATCTTTTGTTTTACTAGCCTTTATTATTGGGATTCTTAGTCTCAGTGAACTCCCCTTGGTTACATGAGTAGGGGGAAGTCCTTGGTTTACCCATTTTCTGTCACAGGTTGTTTTATATACTGTTCTTTCATCCCTTTTATTCACCTCTCTAAAATAGATGCTAACAATCTCTACATGTCTTATTAATGCTAGAGATTTTTTTTCCCATTTTTTTTCTTTTTTTTATTCTTTGTGCCACCTTCTGTGGATCTCCACTCTTCTGGTACTGCAATATGTATTTTCAGATTAGAGTTTTCAGTACTGTGCAGTATTTCAGGTGCACCTGGACATTGCCACTTAATACTATGTTTTGCATATTACTGTTTTTCATTCTTTCTGGAGTCTGACAAGCGTTTTTGGTGTCACTTTCGAATTGAGCAGTGTACTTAGACCTAACCCAAGTGATGCTCAGAATGATTTTCAGAGTCAGTATAATTATCCATAGTTCTGTTAACTGTGTTTAAGGTTTTAGGTGTTTAATTCTTTCTTCCCTAATATCTTACTTGAACCTGTTAATACTGAAGTTCCCAGGTGAGCTGGCCTTCGGTGTCTGAGTGCAGGGAGGGAGAGCAGATCGAAGCTCCTGTGATCCAAGAGGAACGGGTCAAGGATCTGCTCCTCCGGCTGGATGCCCACAAGTCTATGGGGCCTGATGGTATCCACCCGAGAGTCCTGAGAGAGCTGGCGGATGTCATTGCCAAACCCCTGTCCATTATCTTGGGGCAGTCTTGGCTCAC